ACACACACACACACACACACACACACACACACACACACACACACACACACACACACACACACACACACACACACACACACGGTGCATAGAATAAATAGAAGCTACAATAGTGGCTGCGGTTGCGCTATGCATCCACTAGATGGAGCTACACTAAAGAGAATACAATACAATACAGCTTTATTTAAATGAGCCTTCAGAACCGCTGCAGCTGGAACAATGAGAACTGGTCACAAACACAGAAATGAAATATAAATACAAGAAATACAGAGGAATGTATTTGTTCAAGTTATGCTCGTGGGATGCCCACCGATGGCTTCACTTCTCGCTACGGTAAGTGGAATCGCAGCGGTGAACCACCCACGAGTCTGACTTGAGTTTTTAAAACCCAAATATGAGCATATTCAGGTTTTTGCATGCATTTACAAGGCCTTTCAAAATCCGAATATTGCTAAGATTCTGGTAAAAAGGGTTATTTATGGCACGTAAACGTAGTCGATGTGGAAAAGTTGGAATAACAGACCCCTCCCTCTACACGCTCTGATATAACTATGCAAATTAATATAAACATGGCGTGCTGGTAGGAAGTGTCACTCTGCATGATCAGATAGTCAGATTATCAAGCCATGACTCACCAATGAAAAAAGAGGATCTTAACAAAACGGGACCTCAATGATTACTGTGTGGTAAACTGAGTCGGTGGCCCGGATTTTTAGCCCAGTGGTCATCACTCCCAAACAGGAACTTAGTGGCGGTGTGGGTTTCATCCCAGAGTTGGGTGGGACACCACAAGAGTAAAAACGCCCTCCCCCAAACCAACCCATCAATTAAAAAATAAAGTTTTCAGGGGCATCGAGGCCGTTTTTCCTGGGTACCTACAGTGCTTTGCACACCCGACATGACCTCTACAACTCGCTAACGGCTTTAAACCAACAAAAACCTGCATACAGCAACCAATTGAAAAAAAAGCTGTGGGGCATCGTACATTCCCACGGTCAGTTCCACCTTTACCAACAGGCTTACCTGGGCTACTCCATGGTTGTAAAGGGCCTATCAGAATTATTATTATTATTTTTAACCCCAATTAGTTGATTTTCCTGACAATCACTTTACATTCTTGGCATCAGTTGACCAAGCCACAGGTGATTCTGTGCAGAGCCGTGGACGTAATGATTAAAGGTCTTAATAGTTTCATATGATTTTGCTACGTCTTGAATTTTGTCAGTCACTTCACCGCTGCAAAAGTTTATGAAGAAACCCCCTCGACGAGGCCTCCTTCTTAATGCCAAAGGGCCTATCAAAGCGCATTAAATTCCACACTATTCTGCCATTTGTTTATTTATCAGTCACTCATATCATTCTAACATCTGCGGAACAAACACACCTGTACGATAGACTCCGGATATCACTTGACTGATCCCAGTTTATGCAGCCAAGGTGAAATGACCGTAGTGGTGGCAGTTTATCAGCCAATATTATGTCCAAGTAATGAGATACATGTGCAAGCTGCACGAGTTGCAAATCACAGATGCTTCAGGAGTGGGTTTTACAACCATCATGTTGGCAGATAGGGAGCATGACACTGGTGAGTCTTTACGATCATGCAAAGGCTTGGGACGTACAATGTTTAGGTTACGGGACGTGAGTACAGTACATAGAATTGCACGGTTTTAATCTTTGAGACAGGCATACTAACAGGATCAACCATGTGGCCTCGCAGCCAGGGCTGGTCTGGCTGGCTGGCGGGGAGCAGCGCAAGTGGCTGGTTGTGGCATGAGGCGAAACGGCAACAGGCCAGGCACTCGCGCACGTAAGCGCAAACTTGTCCGTGGCCCCTGCCATAGTGGCCGCTTCTGTTGCAGAGCAGAGGCTGACTGGGGTTGCCTGGACTGGCTCGGAGGGTGCTCACCGGAATACCCTCCGCAGGCTCGCAGCAACTTTTCCTGTCATGCCAAAATGGCCTTGTTTGCATTTGGCGTAGAGAATAGTGGGATGAGTGATGCCAACGTCTAGAGCTCTATTGTGTGTTGTACATTGTTGCACTTGATTATTTTTTCAATACTATTTTGATCTGAGCAGGTATTGTAGGTGCAAGAGTGCACTTGGTGTGCTGATTTGGTTTCGTGTAGTAGTTGTTATATGAGTGCAATACTCTTAAAATATATTTTTTATTCATAGAAGTGACTAAAAAGACCCACTATTTGTTTATAAAGAGTATAGCGTATGAAACTTTTGATTTGTTGGCTATTCTATTTCTTAAAATTGATGAAATGCATAAATATAGGCACTTATCTGATTGTCGATGTTGGAAAAAAAAAGTTGACCATCTCAGTTAGGGTTTGGGGCCTACATTTGATGGATAGCTCCGGTAAAAGGGAGGTAAAGGCAGCCATGCCCAAGGTCATTTCACTCTTGATACGTCTGAACCTGACTGTGGAAAATTGAGTATGTCACGTTTTTGTGTGTACACACCCTTTTTGTATAAGAGGGCCATATTTATTTTCGCTGTCTTGTGCAATTGTACTTAAATTGCATTTGTTGACCAGATTGTTCACAATTTACCAGTCAATAAAGTGTAAAATACGGACATCTTTTTTTTTTTTAATTATATTGAGCCTGTAAAACTGGTGTTCAATGTGACACAGCCCAAAAAAAAAAGTTAGTCGACTGCCCTGTCCTGGCTCTGAGGTACTTAGAGCCCCCTGGGGAACCTCTGGACCTTGGTAATTTTTTTTTTTTTGGGGGGGGTGAAACAACGGTCCAACTCAAAGTCCAATGGTTAATTGAAAGGTTTCCCCAAAATGTTCTTGCAGTGGATAAGGCGCTATTTACTTGACATTTCATTTGGTTACATTTAAACTGTCTAACAGAGTTGCATTTGGCCCTTTGAGGGTAACGTTTGCGCTGATGTGGGCATGGGTCAAAATGAGTTCAACACCCCTGGCCTTGCAAAATTTTGGTTTCAAATGTGCATTTTGCAGAGATGAAAGTGGACTTTTCTGAAAATTCCGGAAAAAAAAAAAAAAATAAATAAATGTGTGTATACACACACACACACACACACACACACACACACACACACACACACACACACACACACACACACACGCGCCCACTTGCC